CGCTCGGACGTCATGCTCCGCGATGCTGGTCACCGGTCTCTCGCTGATGATGATGAGATGATGAAAGTGGGTTTTCATTAGATAAGTTGAAACTATAGGTGATGGGGAACTAGTATTTTCTTGGTACCCATGCTTAAAGGTAGTGTGTAAAATCTCACCATAGGTGTCAGTAGATTGCACATTGAAGTGAGTTCTGTTTTCTTACAAGTCTATGAGAATGCATCAAATTCTTGGAAAATGTTACTCCACAGTAGACCATGTATATTTATCAGTGCAATATTCATTTGAACCATAATATCCTCAAAATATTTCTGACTCACTAGCGCTTTGAGGGCTCCTGTTACAAAATAACGTTGCAATTGTTACTGTACGTTCTAAAACTGATACAATTGATAACACTTTAAATAGCATTATAACTTTAGTAAAATACATGCATTTACATTGTTTTATGTTGTCACTGCAGTGTTACAATAAAGTCTTTTGTGACTATTATGTTTTTCACTTTCTTATTCATGCCTATCCTGTTGCTCACTGATGAGGTTTTGGCACTGAAAACTACTCAGCATGTAAAGCATGTAGTGTGTTGTCACTTTAACAGAGCCAATCAGGGGAATTCACAGCACACTCTAAATAACAACTCAGGTTTTTCTCTGCTTGGACTGACCCAGGCTGTGAGAGCTAGTGTGACTGGCTGCTTTGCGGTCTGGCTCAGCTCCCAACATGCAATGGCACGTATGCAGCAACTGTGCCAATCAGCTCCACCCAGCACCACAAACTGCTCCACCTTTCCTCCTGCAGGCAAAACAACAAACCACTATCTCAGTTAGGTTTAAGCATAGATGCTAAAAGACACCTTGTGCTTATGTAAGCCGCACTGTTTGAAAATATGTGACACCCTCAGAATGAGACTGTGATGGGGTAATAGAAATCTCTAGTATTTATTTTTTACGACTCTTGGTTATCTTAAACTTCTTTCAGTAACCATGGGTTACAATAGTGACCAACACTTCTGATGTGTGTGCCTGCAGCACTGCTGACATTTCATCCTGTTCTCGTTCTGTGTCTCAGTGTCGCATCTGACATTTTAAACTCTGGGGACTTCTAGTGGCTAACACACAGCAGTGTTTAACATATTCGCTTTACACATGAAAGGATCCTGGTTTGAATCTGAGAGCAGGTACAAAACCAACCTTGACGGGTCACATGCTAGTGCAAGTCCCAAGCCTGGATAAAAAGAATGGTTGTGTCAGGGAGAGCATCAGGTGTAAAATCAAAACATGTGGATGTGTCGACTGCTTCAACCCCTTGGGAAACATAGTAGCAGCAAAAAGTAGCTTCAGACTCTGAGGACTTCACAGAATGACAATTCACGTCATTTATGAACTCTCATTTCACGTTATCAGGTGACCTACATCAACTTCCTCCCGGATGTTTTCAACAAAATAATAATAATAATAGAACAAAAGCTATACCACTACAATAATCTGGCAACGTAAAACCCCCAAAATAGTGCAGTTAAAAGAATTAAATAAAATATTAAAATAAATTAATGTTAACATGTAAACTTTGTATGTATGCATGTGTGTAAACTTACAAAGATTGACTTTCAAACAATTTTAATGACAATTCTTGAACAAAAATACAGTTTATTACATTATCTGTCCTTAATATGTATTTTATTGTGACCCCATTTCAGCATCTCTGCATGAGGATAAAAAAAGTGTCCTTTTCAGTCGGAAGAGAAAGGTCTGAGTCTTAGTCACAGCTTCTGTAGTTTGTCTGTAGCTGTCGTCTGTCTGAAGGAGGAAGCAGCAGCATCTGTGGGTTTTCACACTTCTCTAGAAAACAGAAGATCTTTGAAGAAAACATGGTGCACAGACTGTGGTTGTGTGTGTGTATATGTGTGTGTGTGTGTGTGTGTGTGTGTGTGTGTGTGTGTGTGTGTGTGTGTGTGTATGTGTGTGTGGTGGGTGGGACTTAGAGAAGATGTGACAGATGAAGCGATTGTAACTGTTCAGTAACGAATCAGTGTGGCAAGATGAAGATCTTGCTAAGTAGTCTTCTTTTCGCCTCTCTCTGTACCCTCTCATCCTGGAGTAAGTAGAAATATAACTTTTTATACCATTCCTCTCTAAATGGAAAAGTTAAGTTTTCCTAAATTTGTTTGTGATACATATTCCATAATTTTACTGACAAGCGATAAATGAATGTCTGATATTATAATGTCCCCTCATTATGTCAGTTTTGAAAGTTCTTAGTTCTAAGAAGTGAGACTTAGATTTTGAATGAAGTTATAATGGTATAAGGTTTTTGAAAGGCTAGATATAAAAGACAACATTAATGTATTGTCATGACATCTTTATATCTCATGTGCAATCACTACCTGATATTGTTATTTTTTATGACAAAAATCACTATAATGTATTTAGAAGCATTTCTGTGTCTGTGTAGGTTCTCAGTAATCTAGGTCGTGGTAATCTAAAGACATGAAAAGAAAAGCCACTGAACTACTAGACATCAGAGAAGCTACTTCAGTTCTGAAGTATCTTCTCTGATGTCTCTGAGAGGTGAAACATCTTCAAGAAACTTCTATGTTCCTCAGATTACCATGTCTGTATACTGTATTTTGTGCCAAGACCTGATGCTTTTAGCTTTAGTTTTAGAAATCCTGCAATATGTGTGTCTTGTGATGACTTACAATATTATGTTCCACTGTTTCTTACAGGTGTTTCATCAGGCACATTTGTTGTGACCCAGAGTCCTGATGTTTCTTATAGGGAGGGAGAGACAGTAAACATCACCTGCTGCTGGACAAGGACGTTTGAAAGATTTAGCGTGAACTGGCTGAAAAATGAAACAGTAATTAGGAGTGAAACCTACGTGAATTATTCTAAAGAGTCTCTGAAAATAGAAGAAAAAGACTGTTCTTCTTTGAATTTCTCAAATATCAGACCAGAGGATTCAGGGACATACATCTGCAAGGTTATTGTGGAGATACCGTCTTTAACTGAGGCTAAAGGAAACGGGACAGTTATCACAGTCAAGACAGAAAACAATACTATCGACAGCAACAGCAGTGGGCCCAGTAAGTTAATAAATATCCAGTGCAGCCAAAGGTTCAGTATGGTGACATGTTACAATTCCTTTTTACAAGTGTAGTAGATATTTAAACGATATCAACTGTAGACTGAAATTAACTGTACTGCCAATGTCATTTTAGTTGGCTTTGGTAGTCTTAATATCATCATCATCATCATCATCATCATCATCATCATCATCGTTTATTTGTATAGCACTTTAAGAACACACCAGCAGACCAAAGTGCTGAACAACACAGATCAAAACAACTACCAAATTAAAAATACCATAAAATCATTACATACAATTAAATAAATAAGAATATTAACAGACTAATTAATAGACTGAGGAATATGTAAAAATGCAGTTTTTATCCCTTTCATCCCTCTTTTTTTGTAAAATATTAAACAATTTTACACTGATAGTACCAGAGGGATTACATTTTTTCATTAGATAGATATATGGATGGATGTGATTATTATAATATTATTATTACAAATTTTACCGATTCTGCAGGTTTTGGGAATCCACCAACCAACGTGATCATTTCCCTGTCTGTAGTGGTTCCTTTGCTCCTCATCACACTCGTCTGTTACTGCACTCTGCGAAGAAAACAAGGTACCAACTTTAAATTAATACTGAAGTATCAGAGAGGCTGAACTAAATTACAAAACACAAACATTTCTTTGTTCCTTCTCTTTTTGTTTATCCATAAAGATGCGTTGCATTTAAATCCTTTAACCAAAGAACATGACACAGGTATCACACACAGGTGCACAGGTTTATTTTAAACAATAAATAAAAAAACTGGATTATAAATGTGTAGTTTTATGATGAAATAGTTCTCCGTGATATACTTCAACCACCATGTCTTGACATTATAATTGAACTATACTGGAGTCAATTCAAACATGTTAGGAGGTTATATTTCCATACATGTAATAAAATGTTGGAGCAGGAAATACACAAGGATTTTCTTTTTAACTCTGTGAGCTTCTGTACATGCTGTATGAACAGTATTCATTTATTAACTTCTGCAGAGTGCATTTTTCACATAGACGTGGGAGGTCTGCATGCAAAAACATGCAAAACTCTTCCTGAAAAAGACAAGTGCCAAACAACCTGCATCAAAAAGCATTGAAATTAGGACGTCTGATATGGAGGCTGACACTTTCCTCACTAATACATTTGCACAACTGTCAGTTTGCATGGCAGCAAAGTTTAAGTGGTGTGGTAAAACCGATGAAAGAAAAAATAATAACCGACCGAAAAGGTTGTACTTAAGATTAAACTAAAACCAGGTTTGAACAAACACGTCTGTTAACTGAAACAAACTCAAACTAGACATTAAAAAAGTACTAACTGACACTGTACATGCTGTATGAACAGTGTCAGTTCATACACTCACAAACTAGTCAGTAAAAAAAATTTAAATTAATTTTAGAAGTGCTTGTGTGATTGGGTGAATGAATTAGCTGTATAAAGTGCTTTGAGTGCTCGGACAGAGTCGAAAAGCACTATATAAGAAACAGTCCATTTACCAAACCAGCATATTTTTTGTTGATAGACGATCTACTCACAAACAAGTCTACATTGAAAAATGTGGGATGTACTCAATTTAATTTCACTAATTTCATTTATTTATATAGGACCGATTCACAGCAACACCAACAACAACATAACATTGTTTTAATTAGAAATGTTTGGGGCCGAAATGGAATAGTGTTGTGTGCCAAGGACAATGTTTTAATACAATTAGGATTGTGAAAAAGGTGGCAGCAACAGCGTTATCAAATAAAGAATGCAATAGTTCAAAATGATTTAGTTTTTAAACTGACTGCTGGCATCAGATTAAAGAAGAAAAACATGTAGATATGAGCAAATCTAAAGTCTGATTTAATTAAAAAGAGGAAGCCAGTCAGGGAAGAGCGGATGGTCAATGAGCTGAGACTGGCACACGACGAGAATGGCTGAAACAGCTGGTTCAGATACTGCTAGAGGTGATTAATTGATGCAGATATGGAAAAACAAAACACTGTGGTAGGAGACCAGACTCCTCACAGCAGGAAGGTTCTTGATTTGAGTCTCCACAGGCAGGTGTCCAGAATAAAACACTGTGTAGAAAAATGAAGGTGAATTATCATAAAGTCCATTTCATCCCATAATAACAGGATGCCACAGTTTAAACACTGACAAGTCTGTTAAAATAAAATGAAAATATAAGGAGGGATGAAGTATTGTAACATGTTTGTAACATTACAGTAACAGTAACAGAGACCGAAAGGATTAACTGCGGCTCCCAATTAGGTCATTATTCTAAAAAGAAAATGCAATTTAAATCCTTGTAATCATTTCTATGTGGACGTGTGTGTTTTCAGCACTAGCAGCCCGAGTCATCTACGAGGTTCCCCACGTAGACTCCGAGATGGCAGATGCAGACAAAGACAGCACAAGCTCCTCCAGAGGCTCGTCTCAGTGGGTGAGAACGGGGTTCATTTCAGGGTGATGTTTTAGTTAGTTTAGGGGGACAATAGGAAACAGTACTGAAAATCATTTTTAAACAGTCCAAATACATGTTGATCCAGTTTCACTGAGTTATTCACGGTGACTTCAACATTGAGACATCATAAAAATATAACTGACATAATGTTTCTACCTAACTATGTGTCAAACTCAGATTGCCTGTTGAGTTTTAGTGTCATGGCTACTGAACGGACCCACGCGCAGACAGTTCTTGTCAAGGAAACAAAAGGGGATTTATTTACAACAGGGATCACCTTAGTGCAAAATATATGTACAGTGAGTTGGGAGGGGGTCCAGGGCTCCAGGGAGAGAAGGGGGG